GGCCCCGCCCTCCCCGCCTGCCCAATCCGAGAAGCCGCGCGGCGAGGGCCGTAGACTCCGGCCGGCGGGCCGAGTCTAAGCAGGCGCTGGTTCCTAACGGCCCTCGAGCGGAGCCCTGCTGCCCCGTTTTTAAATGGTTGGAGAAAAAAATCAGAACAATAACATTTTATGACTTGTGAAAATAACATGAAGTTCAAATTCTAGTGTCCATAACTGGCGTTTTGTTGGAAACAGCCACGTGCGGCTGCTCCTCCGCTGCAGGGAACGCCCGGCTCTGCCTTCCGCACGGGGGAGGGGCTTTCGAATTCCCTTTCCCGCCCCGGGGGCCCGACGAGGCCCATTCCTCAGCAGCAACAGCTGGTTAGCAGGTTCCTCTGCAGCGATAGCTGGTTAGCAGGTTGCTCCTCAGCAACAGCTGGTCAGCAGGTTCCTTTGCAACAACAGCTGGTTAGCGGGTCCCTCCACAGCATCAGCTGGTTAGCGGGTTCATCAGCAACAATAGCTGGTTAGTGGGTTCATCTGCAGCATCAGCTGGTTAGCGGGTCCCTCCACAGCATCAGCTGGTTAGCGGGTTCATCAGCAACAATAGCTGGTTAGTGGGTTCATCTGCAGCATCAGCTGGTTAGCGGGTCCCTCCACAGCATCAGCTGGTTAGCGGGTTCCTCTGCAGCGACAGCTGGTTAGCGAGTTCTTCCGCAGCATCAGCTGGTTAGCGGGTGCCCTCGGTGCTCCAGGCCTCGGGGGGTCAGGAGCAAGGGACACACCATTTCTCACCGAGCGGCCGACAGCCAGCTGGCCTTTATCAAGGGCAGTGTGGGAGATGATGGCCTCGCGACCGCCCTGGATTGCTGGGTGCCGGCCCCGTTCCGGAGCATCGAGAGCCGGCTCTCTGTAAACTCGGGGCTGCATGCCGAGCGCTCACTCCTCTCCAAGCACCGTTCACCAGCGCTCACCTCTCACATGTGTCATCTCCGGGAATGCTGCTCCTGGGAGAGGGAGCCGCTATCATTCCTGTTTTACAGATGAGATGGGCCCAGAGAGGTTAAGCAACTGGTTCAAGTTCACACAGCTAGTGAGGGGTGGGGGTGTTGACCTGCTGGTTCTGAACTGTGTTCCCTTAACCTTTGTGCTATGCTGCTTCGGGTTGTATGCGTAAATGTAAGGGCTGTGGGGACCCAGAGGGATCTCTAACAAGGCTGGGGTGTTTGGGGGCAGGCAGCAGTGAGGCCCCTGTGAGGGGTGAGCCCTGAGCTGAGCCAGGAGGATGGAGGCGGAGGAAGGGGAGACCGCGCAGATGCTGTGGAACAAAATGGAGCTGCATCCGACCACAGCAGTCTTGCTTGCTCCCTCTGGGCTTTGCTTGAGTCCTTGTCCTGCACCTGTACGAAGAGACACACCACCTTGCGAGTAAAATACTTTGGGGAGGGAGGTGCGGGGACACTCGGCTTTTAAGGACACGTAGAGCTTCCCTGATTCCTCACACGCAGGGCCGGTGACGGAGCCCAAACACCAGACTGAGCTGCGCAGAGACCGTTTGACAAAGAGGCCACAGGCAGGCCAGTTCCTGTGGGGCCGAGGGCACCAACTTAGGGGGGCCGGAGGGACTGGATTCCAGCCCTGGGACCCTGACCAAGGCACCTCACCTCTGTTTGCTCATCTGTAAAGTGGGATGTCTTGGCTCTGCCCACAGGAACAAATGCAATAAATGTCTACAAATGTATTTGTGAAACAGTTTGAATAAGAAAGGAGAAACCGGTGCGCTGGAAAGGTTGTTCCAGGATCATGGGGTGGCTTTTGGGGACGAGAACTGAATGATGAGGAGAAGGCGGGCTCTAAGCTTCAGGAAGTTCTTGACATAAAGCTGAAACCCACTTTCCCACCATGGGCACCCACTGGCCCTATTCCTGCCTTCGAGGCCCACAGAGGACCGTCCCCTGTTCCACATGTCCACCCTGCAGCCCCCTCCCACTTCTAACAGGCTGAGATTTGAGCCTAGCTCTGGCTTCGATGCTCCAGTCCCCTCCAGAGCTCAGAAAGCAGGCCTCATAGGTCAGGCATTTTATACTTGATCTGTGGCTGTGGCTGGGATCACAATCATCCAGGGTGCCCCCCAGCCCCACTCCTCCCTGTGTGAGAACATCTGGCCTCCAGAGGCGCTGCAGCGAGGCACTGAGCAGGCCCACCCTCCGCCACAGCTGATTGGCTCAGGGCTGTGGATCCAGCCCACACTGGGCCAATCGGGTTTGCTCCTGGGAATTTAGAATTGGGATGCAGACGTGCTCAGGTACCTGCTTGTGGCCTGATCTGAGAATGTGGAACTCTGGGACTTAGTGAGAGGCCATCTTTAGCTGTGTGCAGAGAAAAGCAGGGAGAAGCAGCCATGAGGTGAGATGGAGAGGGAGAGACACAGACAGACTGCCGTTATCCCCAGGGGCCTACCAGTTGGTAGGGCCCTTGAGATATTCCTAAATAAACTCTCCTCCTTCGACTAAGTTAGTTTGAACCAGGTTCTCTTGCAGCCAAAAGAACCTTAGCCATGAGAGTGGGCCTGTGTACAGTGATGTAGGAAGATTTCATATGCTGAGGTGTATGGGAAAGCCACTCAGGTTTAAACTTGATGTGGCTTAAATTCTATTTCAACCAAGGAAGGCTGATTTACAGTCTGGCAGACGCTCACTGTACATCTGCTTTAGTCATTGTCCCACAGTAAAGAATGTGCCCTTTGAAGATAAGAACTGATGACTCCCTTCTTATGACGCCAGTGCTTTTTGCATTTTCCCTTCCCGTGACGCCAGGGTCCTGTGACCTGCTGTGTACGTGCTAATCTGTAACAAAATATCTCCTTGGATCCTTGAAAGAATGTACCCCTGTCATGCTTTGTCATGTCTTTGTCTGGCAATGGCATATAACGGTGGTGAAAACCACTCTTCTTCAGAGAGCTTTCTTCCGGCACTTCTAGGCTAGTCCTCAGCTTGGCATGACGAAAACTTTCTGCTACAGAACGATTATCGATTATTTGCATTGATAATGGTTATGGGAAACGGTTAAGTCAATGGTTGTGTTGGAGCAAAGAAACGAGAGGCCGACTATTGGGGTGATGATTTCAGAGCAACCCAATGCGATGGTGCCCAGGTCGCAGTCTCGTGGTGTTCACACCCGCTGTGATCCCCTCCCTGAGTGTGGCCCAGGGACCCTGTTCTCACTAGCGGAATTTGGTAAAGTGATGATGTGTACATAAATACATCACAGAAGATCGCAACTCCCGCCTTGCTAGGACACTCTCTCCCTTGCTGGCTTTGAGGAAGCCAGCTGCCATGCTGTGGGCTGCCCTCTGGAGAGAGCCATGAGGCAAGGAAGCGAGGGCAGCCCCCAGCCAACAGCCAGCGAAGACCTGAGGCCCTCAGTCAGACAGCCTGCAAGGAACGGAAATTCCACCAAGGACCACAAGAGCTTGGAAGCGGATCCTTGCCCAGTCGAGCTTCAGAGGAGACCACAGCCCTGGCCCACACCTGGATCACGACCTTGCTGAGGACCCGATTAGGCTTCGCCCAGACTCCTGACCCACAGAAACTGTGAGATAAGTGTACATTGTTGTAAACCACTCAGTTTATCCTGATTTGTTGCACAGCAACAGAGAATAGTTTCTTTCTCAGGCTGTAAAGCAACATAGAATAGAAAAAGCCCGTTTGACGTGTTTTCAAATCAGCTGCAGGCAAACAGAAAACGCTCACAGACCTGCACATTCGCATCTGTAAGATCCCAGTGTGATCAGGACAGTACTGGGGTTGCTCAGATATGTGAAAGGTTCTAGAAAATCCTCTCCCTGGTGCAAGCCCGAAGGCAGAGTCGACGGGGCACTGGGGTGGCTCTCCAGGTCCCACGTGGGCCACTCCGGGCGCTGAGCACGTGGGGCACCGGGAGCCTCGGCGCCCTTGCCATCACAGGCCAGTCCTAGAGGAGGAGAAGGAGCAGCCCCAGAAAGCGAGCCGGGGCAGAGCCACGTCCCGTCGCCCCTCAGGAGTGCGGCGCCCGGCTTCCTCTGCAACGAGTCTTTGGTGAAACAAAGTTCGCGAAAAGGCGCCTCTGTTTAGAAACAGGTTTCACGTGTGGCCGGAGGAGGAGGCTGGTGGCGAGAGGGGTTCTGGGACACGCTGGGCAGTGAGAGCTACTTACTTGGCCCGTGTCTCTAGAGAGGAGGACGGGGCGGGATTAAAGGAGAAAGGGGGCTCCCTCCCCACCATGGAAGGGCATCCTGAAGCCGTGAGGCCCGTCATGCTTTGAGGTTCTGGAACAGGAAAAGGGCCCGAAGTCTTCACCTTGAGGACTCGATGCCGTCTGCGTGCTGCCTCCAAACAGCGAAAGTAATCACGCACTTGACTCCCACTCTGCTTTTATCGCACCAAGTTCAAAGGACTTTTAAAAGGGGGTCTGTGTCTTGACGGGTTTAGGAAAACTGGACTCTTGGGATCAGCTGGCTCTATTCTGGGCGCGGCTGCTTGCTATTCTAGGTGACCTGGTGTGCCGTGGGAAGGGCTTGACGATCTCTTGGAGCCTCTCCTGTTCATGAAATTTGAGGAGAGAGTGAGAAACGAGAGACACAGAGACACCCGTAACATGTCTGGTTTCCCAAAAGCCTTTGAAGTAATAACTCAGAGCATTTTGGGCTGGGAGGAGGAGGCCGGGAATGCTTGATGGCGCCAACACAGGCGACATGAGGAAGGCATTTCCTGTTCTCTCGGTGGCTGTTACAGAGGTCCTTTATTCACCATGGAACGCCCACAAACGCATGAGTATACTTCATGGCTCTCCTCGGTCCCTGACAGCTGAATCTGAAGGACACGGGGACAATGAATACAAGGGTCCTGTAATCAGTCACAGGCAGGTGGGCCAGAATTTGGGCGACCACGTGCTTTGGTCCTGGCGCGCAGCCTTGGATCTAAGGGTCAGATGGTGGATATCTTACTCTTGTGCCAGATGGCTCTGTAACAGCTGCTCAGCTCTGGTGGTGTTGCATGAAAGCAGTCACAGACAACATGTAAATGGACAGGTGTGCCTGTGGCCAATAAAACTATATTTCCACAACCGGGCTGTGGGCCAGATGGTCTGGGGAGCCCGGGGCCAAGGGATTGAAAAGATGAAATCTCCATCTTTAGAGCATCGACAAGTCTGACTCCTTCTGAGAAGCGGTGGCAGGGGCGCTGTGGACGGCCCAGAGAGCTTCTGTGCGGAACCGTGGCCATCTGCTTACTGGTTATCACAAAGATCCAGAGGTTTGGATTCAGGGCCCATCAGTTACTAGTTCTGCGATCTGGGACAGGTTGGTAACTACCGTAGGACTCAATTTTATCACGCAAAGTAGGAGATAATGACCCTTAAGCTCGGGCCGCAGAGGTTTCAGGGGCTAACGCGGGAAGGCACCTGGCGCGGAGCTGGCTCTGGGTCTAGGTCCCGCTCCTGCTGAGCCGACGTCTTTGGCTTAGCAAATGGGCTTTCCCTTCCCACCGTGTGAGTTGGCTGATGTTTATCAAAGTTGAAATGGGAAGAGCAGCACTTTTAATTTTTGGCCGTCCCCATGTGGGACGACTCTGCATAAAGTGAGTGACTACGTCAGTTCAGAGCAGTGAACACTGTCTGCAGGAGAAACAGCCCCGAAGAAAAGATCGTGCCCAGAATGTCACCCTTAAGGCCATCATTAGGACTTGAAAAAAATATTTGGGAGGCAGTCTTGACATAACTATTATACACAGACAGTTGAAAAGTGAAATGGAGTGGGACGCCCCACCCGCAGCGCCCTCGGGCCAGACAGAGATGGTTACTAAGAGAGTTCTGCTCCTTAAGAGGCGTGTCGTCCAACAGAAATGTGCACTCTGGACAATTTTTAAGAGGATGTCTCTCCCTTTGTTGCTTCTGAGATGAATTCTAATAAAACATGGGGATGCCAAGATCAGAACTGCTTCCTTTGGGAGCAGAAAGCCTCGGCGCCAAGTCTGCTTGTGAAGTCCCGTCCCCAAAGGCCATTTCTTCACGGCATGCGCCTGTCCTGATTCACCTGCGTTAAGGTGATGTTTTCCAAGAGCAAACCCCAAGCACACGGAATGAGCTCTGGATGCCACACGACGGGGGCGTGGGACTCAGGTTTAGGGACCACAGAACTGCCCCCGACCCCAGCTGAGCCCCATGGAATAAACTCCTTCTCCTGCCGCCAGGAGCACCTGTGAACGCCACCCTCCGGAAAGGCGCCGCCCACAGAGCCGGCCCAGATGAGGGAGGAGGCAAAGCACCTCTGATGAGGGCAATGACAGAAAAGGTGCAAAGTGAGGGGAACGGGAAGAAAGAGAGGGAAATGTTGTCTGGTACACCAACACTTTCTAGAACCTTGGAACACAATCTTAAATCTCAAGCAAAACATTTACATCGGCCTTATTTATTGCTTACCCAAATACACCACGTGCCCCTTGTTCATTCATTCGACACCTAGTTATTGACTGGTCCTAGGTATCGGGATTGTTCTGAGCACCCGGGAGGCAGCGATAAACACAACGGGCTGTCTGTGCTCCCTTGAGCTTGTGTTCTCGCGGGTTCAGGTCGGGCCATCCTGGTTAGCCCATTCTCTTGAGCAGGCTCCCAATTCCTTACTTCAAGTTCCTGCTCTGTGAGGGCAGCACATAGCATCTTCTGGCCCATGGCCCAGATCTGGCACCTGCAGAGGACATGGAAAGGCAGGTGGATGGTGAAGAGGATTAATTAAAGGGATGATCCATGGCTTTCTGTACGCATGCTAGCCAGGTTAGAATTATTTACGTGGATGCTTGGGACGTTCCTATAATTTAAGCACCACATCACAGAGTATCTTAAAGGACAGTTCTCAATTTTATTTTATTTTTCCTCATGCAAACACTAGGGTGTCTTGTGCTTAAACACCGTAATTTTCAACAAACGAGCCCCTGCCACTGCTGTGTTGAACACCACCGTAATTTACTTGTTAGAATCAGGGATAATAACGAGTTCATCTGAGTGGTAACAACAGCCTGGAAGAAATGACTCTGAAAGATGTGTTTAAGGGACCAGGCCGGGGAGGGAGGGGGACTGAGGGATGTAACTAAAGGCATTTGGAGGTGAAGTGGAGGGGGCGCTGGGGAGGAGGCTGGATGGCTTCTGGAACTTTCGAGAGAGCGTGCATTTTGTCAGAAGCTGAGCATTTCCAGGTCCTTAGAAATTACCTGGCAGCCCTCATTTGACAGAGGGGACAATCAGTCCAGAGAAGTTAAGTGACAAGGCCACAGAGCTTGTAAGGGCCGCCCTGGGGACAGATCCCAGGTCTCCGGATTCTTGGCCCAGTGCCCGTTCAGCTCAGTGGAAGAGTCCATCACACTCATCCGCTGTTTCACAGACTCCAACTGAGTCAACCAGTTTCCAGAAAATCTGGCTATTTTACGAATCTCCACTGGGAGAATTAATGTAGCATATATTTTGGGCATAGCACAGTGGTTAAAGAATTCAAAATCGACTTAGTGAAAACTGACAGATTTATCTATCTTTTCATTTTTGGCTCTGCTCGGGGGGTTCTCTCTCGGTGCCATCCTGCCCCCTAGGGGACACCTGGCAACGTCTGGAGATACTTTGGGTGGTGACATCTTGGGGCCGGTGGCGTTCACGGCATCTAGTGAGCAGAGGCGGATATGCAGCTGAACAGAAGCATCCTACAGGGCACAGGACACCCTCCGCCCTAAACAACGACCGGGCCCCTAACCCTCTCCCCACCCACTGGGCCGGGGCCTCCTCCCGGCAAGGGGACGCGCACAGCCACCTCCCGGGCATCTTCGCGTCCTCGTCCCACCACTCCCACCACGGAGCCGCCCTGCTCCCCGCCTTCCGGCCCCTTCTGGCCTCTAGGGAGGGCTGTGAGCTCCCACCCTACAAATGGGGAAACTGAGGCAGGGCGGGCACGGGACGCGGGTCTCGCCGCTCCGAAGGGAGGCGCGGGCCTGGAAGGCGGGGTCTCCTCCGGAGTCCCCGAGGGCGCCCAGCACGAAGCCGGCGCGTGGCGAGCGGCTCGTCTCTCCGGCGCACTCCCACCCGCCTCCCGACTCCGCGAGGTGCTGCGCGGCCAGGGCCCAGCCAAACGGCCTGCGCGGCGGGCCTCCCCGGCGCATGCGCGCGCGCGGGGCACTGTGGGAGGCTGGCCGCGCGCCCTCAGCGCAACCTGACGCCGGCGCGGTTGTCAGGGCAACGGGGGGGGCGGGGCGGGAGCGAGGCCGCGTGGTCTCCACGTGTTTGTCAGCAGCCGTCCCCTAACTCAGGGAAGCTCCTCCCGCTGGTTCCTTGTTGTCCGTTGGTCCGTTCGCTTCCCGGTTGGACGGAAGCAGATTTCCTGTCCCCGGGAGCACGTACAGTTGACTCAGTGACGGCCACAGGCGGGCGGATGCCGCGATTAGTGATTAGGAGCCGGTGGAGACTGCCAGCGTCCATCCTGCTGGCGATCGCCTGTGCCTTTTCTTTCCTCTTTGCCTCTGAGTGCTTTGTAATTTAACAGCGTCTGTAATTTCTCTGAGTTCTCCGGCCAGATCTCACTTTCGCCAAATCACGGATCTGAATTTCGCAGCAGTGCCTGGGTGGTGACGACCTCCATTAGGAAGCATTCTCCACGTGACGAAGGAGTTCACAGCAGGATTTCCTCGAACAGAAAACTGCCTCGGCGCACCGGCTTCACTTTATATAAAATTCATCTAGATACAAGATCCCCTCCCCCCCATTTCTTTTTTGTGTGTAAACTGCTGTGTATGGCTGTGCAGGCTGTGCCTGGCGGAGGGGCTGGGATCTGAATCCAGCCTAGGCTCTGTTCCTCTGTGCACTGGAGGACAGTGCACCTTCTAATTGTCTATCAGAGTGGGTGCCTTTTTCTGTTTGCGTGAAGTTTCTAAATGTGCTGGCTACCTTCCTGCATGTATTTTTGTAAATTGAGGTAACATTGGTTTATAACATTATATAAATTTCAGGTGTACATCATTATATTTCGATTTTTGTGTAGTTTACATCGTGTTCACCACCCAAAGGCTGGTTACCACCTGTCACCGTACACATGTGCCCTATTACCCCGTTTGCCCTCCCTGCACATAATAATTTTACGGTAACCAGTTGCATGACTTTGGGGTTTATGGAACGCTTATAACAAGGTTTTATAGTGTGTCATTCCATTTTATCCAGGCCAAGACTTTGTGTGGACCCAAGTCTTTGATTAAAATTAAACATGGTGCGAAGAAGGTCGTGTAGGGTGAGGTGTCAGTTCCTTTTTCTGTGCTCCATCAGGTTGTCCAGGAACCTAGATTCCATCCATCTTCTTGCTCCTCTGTCTCCTAGGGGTTGTCCTTGCACGCATGGTAGGAGCTTGCTTGCCTCCACTCCGAGTTCCAGCCTGCGGAAGGGGGAGGAGGAAGCCTAGGGCAAGTGGCTTTGTGTTTAAGGTGATGACCTCCGAATTGCTCTCATGTTTGCTTGAATCCCATTGGCTCAGACATAGTCACGTGGCCACACCTGGCTGCAAGGGCTCCTGAGAAATGTAGTTTCTAGCTGGAAGCCATGTGTCCAGCTAAGATTCGGGCGTTCTATTACTAACAGGAATAAAGGGAGAACAGATGCTGGGGGACAGTTAGCAGTTGTAAGTCCCTCGAGGGTAAGGACTGAGTCACTGAATTTTTTGAATAAATGCAGCAGACATACAGTAAGTGTTCCTCGAGTGGTTGATAGAGAGGGTCCTGTTCTATTTGCTGAGCAGCATTGCATAGTGGGGAAGCCTGGGTTTCAGTCTTGCCTGGGATACTTACTGTGTGACTTTGGCCAGGTGGTCTCATCACCCAGCCTCAGTTTTTCTAATCTGCAAAATGGCTCATATACCCGCTTTTCAGAGGGTGTGGGGAGGGTAAACGGTAGAAACATACATGAAACTCTTAGCATGCGCTCAAAACTCTTAGCGTGTGACTTTTCCCCAGACTCTTAGCTGTAGTGAGAATATCATACCTTTTACTTTACAATATGCTCTTAATTCCAGGAAGCTGCACAAAAATATATAGTCAAAGGGAAAAAAGACAAGAGTGTGGAAACGTTAATGCCACACCTTATTGCTATTAGAAAAAGAGGTGGAAACCAGGCCTATCGTTCAACCTATTGTGAGCAAGACACTGTGAATTTTAACGGAAATAAAATTTAAATGCCATTAACAAAAAGTGATGTAAACATCAGAAAGGCAACTTGAGGGATATTCTCCAGAATAGGTGACTAGTACCCTTAACGAGAGTCAAAGTCAAGAAAGATAAGGAAAACCTGAGGAGCTGCCAGACAGCGGAGGGGACTAAAGAGATGTGACGATTAAATGCACTGGGGGTTCCTGGACCAGAAAAAAGATAGTAGTGGAAAAGGTGGTGATATTGAAAAAAGCCTACAGTTTAGTTAATAGTAATGTACCGGTGTTAATTTCTTAGTTTTGACAAATGTGGCGTGGTTAGATAGATGCTAACATGGGGGAGCTGGGTGAAGTGTGTGTGGGAAGCTCTGGGTGCTGTCTTTGTAACACTTCTGAAAATCTAAAGCTACATCAAAATAAAAAGTTTTAAAAGTGATATACAAATTTGAATTTATTCAATTATTGCTTTTTTTGGTTGCAAAGATGGCATTGTCCTCCAAAATCTATTTTCTTTTGCTTCCATAGCAGTACTGACTGCTGCTTACCTGGAGGCACAGGGAGAGGCCCCTTTCCCACGCCGCACTGCAGCCAGGTGTGGCTGCTGGGACATGGATATTCCTTCAACCCAGCATCAGCTCTGCAGTGGGGACAGTGCCCTAGGTGATGGCTATTACGGGTTGCATTGTGTCCCAGAAAAACAGATGTTGAAGTCGTAGCCCCTGGTGCCTGTGAAATCACTGTGATATCGCGATATAATGACAAATGGATATTTGGTCTTTGTCTGGGCTCCTGGCACAGAGCTACTAAAACTCTTGCAATTTCCTGAGAGAGAGAGATGATAGGAGCATCTTTTTAATTTTTTTAAATATTGGTCCTGAGCTAACATTTGTTGCCAATCTTCTTTTTTTTCTTCTTCTCCCCAAAGCTCCCCCAGTACCTAGTTGTATACTCTATGAGTGCCTCTGGTTGTGGCATGTGGGATGCCAGCCACCTCAGGATGGCCTGATGAGCGAGGCCATGTCTGCGCCCAGGATCCCAACCAGCGAAACCCTGGGCCGATGAAGTGGAGCCTGAACTTGACCCCTTGGCCACGGGCCCGGCCTGGAGCATCTTTTGTTACAATATTCAGTCTTAGTCTCTGGTTCCCGGTATAAGACCTTCAGAGACCTTTGGAATCTCCAGAATAATAAGCATGTCTTTGGTATGCTCATGAGGTGATTGGTGGCTGGGGTCCCTGGGTGGCTTCAGGCTGGGGGCTGGTTGCCAGAGAAATCAAGTCATGATTAGAGGGTTGGAACTTTCGTCAGGGGTTGGCGCTGGAGATTGAGTGACTCGCCGATGACTGTGTCAATCATGCCTGTGTCCTGAAACCTCCACAGGCCCCTCTAAACTGTGGGGGATGGGACGTTTCTGGCCGGTGAGCACATCCACATGCCAGGAGGGGGTGCACCCCGACTCCACGGGACAGAAGCTCCCGCCCCTGGGACGCTTCCAGACCTCTCACCCTGTGTGCCTCTGAGTGATACTGTAATCATCTTATTTGGAAATAGGGTCTTTGCAGATGTCATCAAGTTAAGATGAGGTCATTAAGGGAGGTTCTAATCCCATATGACTGATGTCCTTATAAGAAGAGGCCACGTGAAGATGGAGGCAGAGAGTGAAGCGATGCAGCCACAAGTCAAGGACGCCATCAGCTACTGGACAACAGAGAGGCAAGGGCGATCCTCCTCTACGGCTTGGGAGGAGCACGGCCCTGCTGACACCTTGATTTTGGACCCTTGGCCACCAGAACTGTGGGAGAATAAATACCTGCTGTTTTAAGCACCCCGTTTGTGGCACTTTGTTACGGCAGCCCAAGGAAATGAATACAACAGCAGAGTAAGGAAATGAACGCAACAGCAGAGCGAGGAAATGCGTGAACCCGGGCCCCGTGATGGAGCGCAGCAGAGCGGAGCTGCACACGCACCTGGACCGCTCACCTGAGGACAGTTACCTGAGAGGGAGGCAGACCTTTACATCCTTTAAACTGCTACGCTTTTTGGTCTCTGTTATAGCAGCTTGTCTTTATTTTTTTTTCTGATTCTGTTAATGAGCTTTCTAACACTGACGTTTCTATCTCCCAGAAGCTGCCCTTTCTCTTTCCTCCTTCCTTGTCGGCTCGTTCCATCTGTCTTAAGAAGGGACCTTTCTCCTCTCTTGGAGCATCCCTTGTGTACCTCCCCGGCTTTGTGACTGACTGCTTTCGAGTGTTGCTTTCGAGGGAGAACTGTAGAAGTTGTGAGAGACGTCTGTGACAAAGTTGGCATCCAGTAACGCCAACCGGATTACCGGTTTGGGGGGCAGGTTTTGGAGAAAACAGCATGAATCAACCTCAATTATTTGTAAGTAAAATTAGAGTCATTTCAAGCTGTCGCTTTTCTCTGTCCTACACACGGCATTCAGAGAAGTTGGCAGAAGAATGTTGTTTGGGCTTGTATTAGGCAATTATGGGGACATAAATCTGGGTCTAAATTAGTGAAATTAAAAATGGAAGATCTTTTCACTCTTGGAGGCGGTACAGTGTGGTCATCAAGAGGGCAGACTCGTGCTGGGCTGTCTGGTTGGAGCTTATCTCTACTATGACCTGGCTGTGTGACCTTGGGAGAGCTCCTTAACTTCTCTGTGCCTCATTTGGCTCGTCTGTTAAATGGGGAATGTCTTAGTTTGGGTCCCCTTGAGACAGGACCTGGGTTCAGGTCGTTCATGTGGGAGGGGTCAGAGGAAAATTGCACCGACAGTGTTGAGCAAGCGAGGAAGGCGCTTCAAGACTGTTGCAACAGGAGAGAGGGTAGAGCTCAACTCCTAACACAGCAGGGGCGGGGTCAGCATGGACGGTGAGGAAGAGGGACCTGCCTGGGTGTCAAGGGAGGCGGTGTTCTCGCTAGGCTGGGCTCAGCCAAGGAGGAGGCCTGGTCAGTAAGTTTGGTCCAGGAGGGTCCTCGC